GAGCTTCAATATCTCAATCTGAATTTTCTAAAGTTTTTATTTTTTTTTAAAAAAAAACTTAGCATTTATTGATTTGGTCAAAATCCCCTGATCAGCATTTATTAACTTTTTTCAATCCACATGTCTTTCCACATGCCTGCATTTATTGATTTAGTCAAAATCCCCTGATCAGTATTTAAAATCCCCTCATACAAATAATTATAGATACAATCTGTGTATAGTTACTGCAGTACCCTTTTCAACTTCTTCTATATACTATGGTTAATAATAAGATTGTTAAATTTTTTTTATAAAAAATCTTAAAAAACATAATTTATATATTAAAAAAATCTAAAACAAATATAAATATCTATAATTATCCCGTGCATAGCACAGGTGATATGCTAGTATCATATATATATATTATAATAAAACAAGAAGAAAAATATAGAGTTATATATATATATATATTATAATAAAACAAGATGGAGAAAATCATTTGCTTGTTTGAAAGTTGTAAGCTTTGTATCAAATTGTCTACAAAAACGGTGGCTCCATGTTTGAAAAAACAAAAAAGAGAAAGAAAAAATTAGTCTTACTTTTATCTTTTTAATTATTAACATTTGCTGACTATTTAAAATCAAGGAGCGTCCTATTTCCAACGGGTATATTTTTTGGTATAAATAGAAGTGTTGTGTGTGGAGAAAAATCAAGAACTTGAAGACAAAAATTTCTGTGTACTCCAAAAGTTTTGAGTATATTGTATTCTGCTCTTTCACTTTCAGATTTAAGTGTAGCCTTTGTTCTTATACTGTCATATCTACTCTTTGTGAGAGAATTATTGTAAAAGAGGGTTTAACTACCACTTATTTTTATTTATTATTTTTGTGAGAGATTTTTGTAAGGGTGAAGCATTTAATGTTGAGTGAGGCTTAATAGATAAGAGTAAGTCCTGTGTAAAATCCACAAGCTTGGTGAAGACTTAGTGGTGTATTAATTTATTTTGATAGTAAATAAATTTTCAAGGAGGTTCTTTGGGGAGTGGACGTAGGCCTGGCGTACCGAACCACTATAAATCTCAGTGTTTGATTTTATCTTCCTATCTCTCTTATTTTTCATGTTGATAATTATTATTCTGTTTTTTTTATTTGTATTCTGAATATTGTGTGTTATAAATTTTAATGTTGTAAATTTTTTAAATAACCCAATTCATCCCCCTCTTGGGTTGCCTACCTGAGATAACAGTTAACTTTTGAACAATTAAGAAAATTCTCATTGGTCAATTTCATTTAACTTTTATTTTATAATCTCACATCGAGAAAAGAAAGAAAAAAATGAATTATTTCACTTACATAAAGTGAATTTTATACTCCCATTTATATAAACAAAATAAGATTTTTAGTGAGAAACCTATAATCAATATCTCATACTAATTTTTTTGATTTTATTAATTTTAAAAAAATTAAAAAAATCTCAATTTGTTAGCTTCCATTTAACTTTTATTTTACATAATATAAAAAAAATTAAATATAATTATCATATTTTTATTAAATAATATATTATTTTATTTCGTACATAGTACAAATGATATGCTATATATATATATATATATATAAATAATTATAAACACAATTTATGCATAGCATAGATAGAACACTATGAGGTATTTTGAAAAGATGGTTAAAAGTTATTTTTTGACTTTTTTTGGCTTTTTGTGAGAGAGGGAAGTCGGTTAAAAATTGGGAAGTGACTTTTAACTCACTTCCCAAAATAGGCCTAAGTATATTGAGTTGAAATGAATAAAAATTACATTCAGTGTGTTTGGTTTTAGTTTTTTGAAAATCAAGTTTTTTGATTTTCGTGTTTTTTTATTTTTTGTGAATATTTTTAAAATTTTAAACATTTTTAGATGCACCTTACTTAAATGTATGAAAAAATTACTCATAAGTCCTCTATTGGAAAATGTTACTCTATCTAGTCCTGAGTGTTTTTTTGTAAACCATTTAGTCTTTTTTTTACATCACAACATTATCATCAAAACAACATCAAATATCATCATCAAAACAACATCATCATCAAACAGCATCATCATCAAACAACATCATCAAAACAACATGCAGCCTCCCCATTGCCGTAATGGAACATGCTCGATCAGATCCCTTTCTCTACCTTCACCAAACTCACGTTCTCCCTCCATTGCCCCAACACACTCTCTCTCTCTCTCTATGTTTGGTGTTTGAGAATCTGTGTTTCTCTCACAAGAAAAACGATGAAGAAGTTGATCCGACGGTTTCAGGACATCATCAAGATGTTGCTCTGGTTCTCTCTATGCGATCGCCGGTGGCATCCAAAAAAACCCCAATCTGGGATGACTCTGTCGATCGACTATCCCTCTCCTTCGACGGTGAACCGGTCCTCTCCTCCATCTTCTCCGGCGCCACCTGGCGACCACCGCAGTCTTTGGTGTCTCCATCACTAGATCTGGCGATGCCAAGTCGGTGGTGATCGAAGTCTGCCTTGTTCGGTTATGATTTTTGATGATGTTTCAAATTAATGAATCTAATGAAACACCCACAAACACCCACAATCTGATGAATCTAATGGATCTGATATTCTAATGAATTTGATAATGGATCTCGAGCAATAGTTTCAATTTTTAAAAAAATAAATCTGATGTTTGATGTTTGATGAATAATCCTAATGTTTAATGGTTGAGAATCTGTGTTTGATGTTTGATGAATAATGTTTGATGTTTGATGAATAATCCTAATGTTTAATGGTTGATGTTTGATGAATAATCCTGACGTTGCTAATGTTTGATGTTGGATGAATAATTCTAACGTTGCTAGTGTTTTCACCGACATTATACAAATAATTCTGACGTTGCTAATGTTGATGTTTGATGAATAATGTTTGCTGTTTGAAAAGAAGGGAAATCATAAAAATGCCTATAGTAAGCTTCTTGGGAAATAGGACCTATTAGTCCAACAATAAACCTTCGGGACTAAATGGGTTAACATTCCCAAATTTGGGATTTATTGGTGCTTTCTCCTAAATGTATCTAAAAAATAAAAAAATTGTGAAAAAATATTCTAAAAAATTAATAAATACATAAAAATATAAAAAATATATTGAATTCTCAAATATTTTTTTTTTTGTAATTTTGATATTTAGTGAATTTTTATAAGTTTTTTTTCATAAATTTTTTATTTTTTAAGTATATTTATGTTAAGTATGTCTAAAAAAATATAAAAAATTACTGAAAATATTTAAAAAATTCAAAAAAAATATAAAAATATAAAAAATAAAAAAATAAAATTTTTTGAAAAGTATTTTTGAAAAAAATGAACCACGCAAAGTGATTGAGATTTTATCATTGGATGAGCTGAGCCTAATAAAAGCATCTCCAACCCTGAACTTTTTTTTTCACCAAATTTGAGTAAAAAATGTCTCATTTTCTCAATTTGATATCATTGGCTCTAACGGCGTATCAAATCCCAATTTTTTTTTTATAACCGTTTTGAACTGTTTGAACCCACCGTTTGTGAACTGGGAAGGGGCTACCGGTTGGTCGACCGGCGGGTCGACCGGCCAGTTGACCGGTTAGGCAAATAATTTTTTTTTTTGGTTTCCCTCCATTTCCTCCCAATTCTTTTTCCTATTTCTTTTTCCCTCCATTATATTTATTTCTTTTTCCCTCCATTATATATATATGTCTGGCATATGAATTATGCTCTCATATAAATCCATTATCCATATGCCAGACAACTCCACACAACTGATACGATCATAACTTAAACAAAACAGAGCATAATGAATACCTTCAAATCCATCGTATTGACTTCATTTTCATCATCTTCTTCTTCCTCTTCCTTAGATGATGAATATATCGTCGCACTTTTAGGAGCTTATGAGCAGAATAATACTAATATGCTTCAGATTCTGAGGAATGATAGGTCAAAGAAGATAGGTGGTTTTGTTGTAAGTCACAGGTATATACACAGAAATAGAAGGCAGGGTCATGACAGATTGTTTGCAGATTATTTTGCTGCAAATCCAGTGTACTCGTCTACAGTATTTCGGAGACATTTTCGAATGCGTCGTCCTTTATATCTACAAATTTTGAATGCAATCCAAGCACACAATGAAATACTCTGTCTTGATATAGAAATCAGATCTATTTTATAGAGCAAATCATCAACGGTAAATTTTCAAAATACTCTGTTCATCCAACGGTAATTTGTTATTGTCGATAAATTTTTAAATACTCTGTCCATCCAACGGTAATTTATTATTATAACAACTAGTTGTCAAAATATGTATGTAAAAGGTAACAATTTTATTTATATTTTGAAGAAAATTTAAATTTATATCACCCTTCAAATTATTCATAATCTACAAAATAAACTATGTCAAAATAAACCAGCTCAAACAACATGAAACCAACCAGTTTAAACCTGTTCTTGCTAGCCTCAAAACTGTAGCCGAATTACTCAACCCGGTCGACCGGTGGGTCAACCGGCCGGTTGACCGGTTGCCCCTAACGCTCACGGTTCAAACCAAGCAGTTCAAACCAACCACTTGACAGTTCACACCAATCTTGACGCAGAGGTCGATCGGTTGATCAACCGGCCGGGCAATCGATTGGTTGACCGATTCCTCATTCTAACGGTCACGCACAGTGTTTTGCTGAAATGTGTACACTGTTCTCACTTTGATGATTTGTTTGATGAATCCTCAATTTAATATCACTTTAGTAAAATCATTGGAGTATGAAAAAATATTTTTTTTATCAAAATTTAAATTTGATATCAGGTTTGATTCAGGGTAAAGATGGTCTAATACCTCAAAATTTTAGTAGGAAAAAAAAAACAGCTGTCAGTCACTGTGTTTGACTTGTACACAGCAGCCAAAATTTGACCGCAATTAGGGCATCAAGGGTATTATCGGTATATAAAAATTAGACGAGGATAGTTTGGGTACAAAGTCAATCATAAATACGTGGTGAAGAAAGCCTTCTCACTCTGCTCATCATCATTATCATCATCTTCCTCCTTCGTTTGCAGGGTCTGTGTCTCTCTTTCTCTCTCACAGATTGGGCTTGGAATAAAAAAGCCAAAATCAAAGCGATCGGCGATTCGTTTGATCGGCGATCTGTGTTCAATGATCTTGTTTCTTCTTCGTTGTCGTCTGCGAGTGAAGAAGTCTTGAAGAAGAATCGAATCGAATCGAATCTCGTTTTCTTTAATCAGGATTTTGAGGAATTGCTTTTGCAAAGTAATTGCGTGATCGTCGTCTTTGTCGGTGAGTGAAGAAGCCTTGAAGAGGAATACAAGAACAAGAACTAGAAGAAGAAGAAGAAGAAGAGGAAGAAGAAGAAGAAGAAGAAGAAGAAGAAGAATCGGAATCTCGTTTGAAGATTTGTTAACAGAGATCTATCATCGCTCTTTTCTGTTGTTTTATCGTTTGGTCAAATCATCAATCGCGGCGATTTTGATCGAGAGAACAGGTATTGAAAACACGTTTGTTTTTGATTTATGCGTTTTTTGTTCGTTGTTTGTCTTCAAATCAGAGGAGACTATAAAGTGGTTGTGTGTCTCTCGCCTCTGCCAAAAATCCAACAAAATGCCTTTGCTCCTCTCGCTGGAATTACCAGATCTACGAATTTAGGGCTTTTTTTTTATGAAGAAGAAGTCGTCTTCCAAGGCATGGCTCAAGAACAGCTTCAATCGGTTAAACAGAAACTCCAGGGCAGTTAGTTTTGCTGCGATTCAGTGGGCGAAGCTAAATCTGGATAAGCAGATCTGCTATGTGCTTTCTTCGTTGATATTGTGAAACTTCTTCATGTTGATTTGCTGGATAAACTTCTTCTTCTTCTTCTCCATCTGCTACTGAAGACATTCGCTTTAGCTTTTCACAGTAGAGCCGTTATGGCTTCCAAATATTATTGATTTAGGAATAACAACCAAACCCCCATCACATAAAGACATCAAAATGGCTAGGCGGATGCAATTTCGCGCCGATTACAAAAATAGTAAAAAACTTGATCTGAAATCTTCAGTAGCTTCGAGGACCTCCCAAGTTGTTGATGCATATCGCAATCTTATTGCTGGATGTAGGATCCTAACTGGATCTGTAGGTTATGGCTGCAACTTTATATTTTCGGAAGGCTCATCTTTCCGCATATCTTTTTCTGGCATTTCATGGAATAATTCAAGGGAATTATGGCCTTTGGAGTTCATATTTAGAGACAAAATTTCCTTGTGGAAGGTCTCTTAGGTGGTCATCTAGCTTGGCCTTGTGTTGTAGAGTCACCAAAGTAAGGGTTGTTATCAACTAATTGAAATTGCTGACCTTTTCAGTTCAGTTAGGTATTGAGATGGCCTCTTTGAAAGTAGGGGTATCAAGATTTGAGATGAAGAGAAGATGGGTTTCTCTGATGATGGCACAAGTTGTATTGGTGGTGGTTCTTTTGAGTGGCCTTCCGTGGGTACAAGTTGAATGAGACTTGTTTTGAACTTTATAGACTGCTTTGAGGATATGAACTTTTGGGTTTTTTTTTTCTTTTTTATAAAAAAAATAAAATAAGTTCCACCAGTTATTGAAGTGATGAATTCAATTTGTTTGTGCTGTAATTATAAATGATGTTTTTACATTGTCCTTATATATTTTGTTGAAAGAAGACCTAATACTAGGAATCAGCTATGACCAAAGCTACAACATGAACTGAGGAGGGGTTTTTGCAGGCCTCAAAAACTTGTTAACTGCATCTGCCCCAGGGTAATTGCCTATGGAGGCACATGCCGGCAGTCATGTAATCAGATTTAGGCTTGAAAGTAATACTTCATATTATTAGACTTAACTATGTTGTAGTACTAGCAATTCGATGTTGGTGCTGTTGCTGATCAATTTGTGTGCATTTTACAAGTGGAGTAAAGTGTGGTCGCTTTGAACGGTGCTCTGTGGTACTTAGGAAGGAATTCATTCTATCGATTTAAACGGGGACTGAAGGGGGGTATGAATCCATGGTGAGTATCTAGAATTTCTTTCCCATTGTATTTTCCTGAAAACACTTATTGCAAATACTTAAAAAAAAAGCTACTGATTGCAAATAGGCTAGTGGTTCTGTTGATAACATGCTATACCATCGTTGAAAGGGTTTGATGGGTTTTTTTTGGCGCCTTTTCACCCTAGGCGGGGAGGTTGCTATTCCTTTAGTCAGCGGTGAAGTTGGCAAGTTTTACATCTAGCTTATGATGGGGTAGGTTTGTCATGAGGGTCAATATGGAGTTTTAATTAATATGTTGATATTGAAAGAAAAAATCGATTGTAACATCCAAAAAAACATGGTCATACAATGAACAAAGTAATAAGTATTCCAATAGATAGCATGCATAGACGTGACGTATAGTGTAAAAGTTCTCTGTTGAGCGTTCTGGGAACATTTACAATTGTCACCTGGACATTATCCGGCTTATTGATGTATGTATGGTAGATTATCTGCTGTTCCTATTCTAATATATATATTTTGATAAATGATATATGTATGTATTAACATTTACTATTGTCATCTTTGATGTTATGACATTTTTTTATTTTTTTTATTTTGTATTTGATGGAGCATATTTTTGTTTACTTGCAGAATCACTTCTGTACTTGCACGGGGTTGGCATCTTCTGTGGACTTGAGTAGAAAAAGAAAACAAGTAGTCAGGATATCTTGCAAGACTTGTGGCAGACCGTTAGCTGATGCATTAGGTCCTGCATCTGCAAGCATGCTTAACACCGTCGGTCTCCAAAATACAAATTTTATCGATACTAAGCTGTCTTGGAAGACTGTGGCAAAAGGCTCTAGAAGTGCATCTAGGCGATCTAGGAAACGAACTACGAGCCTGAACATGGGTATGCAACTAGATGATAAGGGCACTAAAAGAGAGGAGTCATCAGTTTCTGAGTCAGAGAAGGTATGCTCTCTCTCTCTCTCTCTCTCCCTGAATTTTGTGATGTTAACCATATTTCCTTATTTGGCAGCTTGGTGTAGCTGTTCTTGGGGGACATTTTGCTGATAAAATTGAACATGTACCAATTAAGAAAAGGAGATTTCTACTCCGGTCCCCATCACCACCACCTCGAACTCCTTCACCACTACAAGAAGAGGTTTTATCATATCAACCTCAGACCCCTTTTCCACAACCTGAAGATTCTAATCAGACTATAGACAGTAAATGTGCTCCAGGTCAATGGTGTTCAGATTTAGTTTCCAACCAGGAAATGGGGGCATTTAATGGTCATGTGGCGGTACAGTTCAGTCAAGGTATTGAAAATAGATTTGTAAGTCAGAATCTTTCTGATGTAATTGAAAAGCTTGATTGCACCGAAGACTTCTCAGGTATTGCACTTCTTGCTGCTGCTGCTTGCAATAACAGCTTTAGTGATGATGCTCATAATGTTAAGGGGGCTCCAATATGTGATGAATCCTTGACACCAGAAGGAATTGGCTCTTCTATATCTGCTACGCCTTTGGAAAGATCATCTACATCCTTGGAAACAGGCAGTTTGTTGCATAAAGATTCAGCACACGAATCTAATATAGATGCTTCATTGGTTCATGATGATTCTGAGGCTGTGTCACAGAATTTTCACAATAAGAAAGATTGTGAGGAGGTTGGAAAGGGACCTGCTTCTGTGAAAGATGAAAGGTTACACTGGGACCTGAATACTGTGATGGAGGCATGGGAGCTACCAGGTGATGATCAATGTATTCCTTCTCAAATAAATGGCTTAGAAGGTATACCTGATGATGGTAGCAGTGAAAAGCCAGAGGGATTGGAAGGAGGCGTCATCCATAGGGAACCTGAACTTGCTGTGGAACAGTTAAAATATTCCACTGCAGATATTGAGGTTCCGACTCAGGTTGTTAGTAAGGATAAATCCCTTGATAATTCTTCTTGTTCCGTATCAGATCCCAGCTCAAGTAGGCCTATTTCTGAGGAAAAGATAAATATATCTCCCACCAATGTTGTCATGCCCAAAAGAGAAGATTGTTGTGGAACTTTTACCTTTCAACTTGACAAAATGGTATCCATAGAAAATGTTCTTCCTGGGAAGCATGATGATGTTCTGCTTGGTCTGGCTGTCTCAGAGAAGGTTGTGTGTGAGATCGACGGCATGCAGACTAAAGAGGATTTTGGGAAAACATCTTGTTTACCTGATAATGGGATTTTTCCTACAGAGTTGGTTAGCACAGTCACCTGTCAAATGTCAGATGTTGAGTATTCTGCAAGTAAATCAGGTAAAGCAGGACCTTCAGACCTGTTGCCTGAGCATGAGTTTTTCTGTGCCTTGGGCACCACTTTTGGAGAAGTCCAACCTGTTGCAGCTCTTGATGTTGAGAAACAGGATAAAGAAGCTCCTGCAGCAGATGCTACTCTAATGGGCTCTTCATTGCCTGTTGAGCTGAAGGAACTCATTCCCAAGTCTTGTGATGATTTTGATAGGATTGCTTATGAAGATCCTACCGATGATGGATATGGCTTGGATACTTCTCTTGGTGGCCATGGTCATGAGATTGGTGTTGAAAAAATGACTGAGATTCAGGCAGGTTATGAGTCTCCATTTGAAGATGGAGAATTGAGGGAGTCACTTGTATATTCCTGGGAGGAGAACGAAGTTGAGGGGGAAACTGAATGTGTGGACTATGATTCTGATAACAGAGACGCAGATGACTTGGATGCTGCTAATCAATGTTTGCTAAAAGTCGGTTCAGACAGTTGTGAAAATGTCGATAATGGAAATGTGGCAGGAAAAGTTATGCAACGTGAAAGAGCCAACGTTTCGAAAGAATCAAGCCATTTAGTGAGCATAGAAAAGTTGTCTGGACTGGATCAATTGCCTGAAGGTTGTGAATGTTCTACTACCAACAAGACTGGTGAAGCAAATAATGTTAGTGCACGAAAAGTCCTTGATTCCGATTCCATGGATGGACTTGATGTCAAAGGTAAAGCAGGAGAGGTTCAATCAAAGGCAACTAAAGGATCATCATGTTCTGATTCCTTGCATAGGAAGGATACCGTATATATGCAGCGGAGCAGGTAATTTCTTCGGATTTGCAACTTTCTTTTCCAATGCATTTTTTTTTAAACACTTCAGTAATGACTTCGTTTTTTTTGTTTTTTGTTTTTAATGTTTTAGATCCAGCTATGATTCATGTTTTCGACCTGGAAGGGTGTTTAGCTCTGAAAAGTCCTTGGGAAGGGACAGGCCTCCTCTTCGAATACAGGATGGAAGCCATGATGATAGTCAATGGGTCGATGCTTCAACAGGCTATTGGGATTCAAGAAACCATTATCCAAATAATTATCATGATGCACAAGGTACTGGTCCAGGAAATGTTGTTGCAAATTCTGGTGCAAAGGTTGATGGATCGACCTACCGTGATCAGAGGAGATCTACAAATTATTCCTCAAAGGGTATGTATCGACCCCTCATTAGAAGGAGATCACCAACTGACAACGATGATGATTATGGTGTGCATAGGAGAATGGTAGCAGCGAGGGACAATAACCACGTTAGGAGCAGAGGCAGATCTGGAATATATCATCGACAGTGGAATATTCGAGGCCCTAGGGAGGAATACCATGGGCCTATGTCTGACAACCCTGCATCGTCTTCTGTTCGTTTGCCACATTATTTATCCAGGAGAGAACGTAGTTTTTCTCCTCCTGGACTCAGTAGGGGTGCTAGTTTTTCCCGGTCCCGCAGGAAGTCACGATCTCGATCTCGATCTCCCCTTCTGTGGCGTTTGCAGAGGGAAAGAAATATGGAGGTGAGACGCCTCAGTAGGTCTCCAGATTTCAGGTCCGAGGCCAGAATGGAGAGAATTCGGAGGATGCCTTTTCAGAAGCCTAATTTCGAAGCAGATGACGAAGAAATTTACATGTCCCCGCCAAGAAATCGTTTCTCACCGCCACCATGTCATTCCAAATGGATCAATGACAGGAATTGCGTGGCGGCTGCTCGTTTCAGGGAGAGAAAATCACCAGGAAGATTGTTTGGGCGGAACCAAAGGTTTGATTCAGTGGGTTCTCCACGAAGAATGAAATCAGACGATTATTTTAGATCCACGATACGTCCAGGAAGGTTTACTGAGATGTCTGGTGGAGCTGGTAGGGGACATAAATACAATGGCAGTGACTCTGACAGAACAAAACATGGTGATAGATATGAGATGATTAATCGAGCAAGGCGCTGTGACACTGGTGGTGTGGTGAGGAGGTTCCGCTATGATGCAGAAGATTGTTTTGAGGCTCATAATGAGGAGAGAAGGGATGTAGCTAGGAGTGCCAGGGAAGCGAGAGGACCTTTTAGATATAATAACAATGAAAGGATGTATGGTGCAGGTCCCAAGTTGTCCGGGATTCGAGGTTATCATGAGGATGCATCCCCCAGTAGAACATGATCCCTGTGGCCTTGCAATCACATGTTTTTTCTGTTTTGTTTTTTGTTTTTAATTTTATTATTTTGTGGGTGGTTTTAATGGTAGATAGGAGATTTTACACCCGTTGGCGTACTTTTTGTTTTTTGTTTCCCCCCTTTTCGTGGATAAATATTTCAAATTTTAATGCTGCCTGATTTTATCTGGCAGTGCTAGTGGAAATTATTTAACCATTCCAAATTCCTCACGGGATTTAATAGGCCCAATATTGCTCTTCTCACTATTTTAGTTTTTTAATTTTTTTTTTTCCTGGCAAACACTGCTATGTTTACTGTATATGAAGTCATAAAAGACAAAATAAATCGTGGAAATTAGTGTTTGTTATGCTTTCTTTCAGAGTAAAGTTCTATTGTTCCTTTTAATATGCTTTTTTGTATTAAAATTATTTTGTGTCATATCTATTTATGGCACTTTCTACATGGACTATTGCTGTTTTGTTTGTTACATCAATATTTCATTTTGTCAAAGGTCAATACAAGCACTGAATCAGTATGAGAATGAAGTTATTGGCTGCTAAACTCCGTTATGTATTTCTTATATTTCTTTCATGATTTCAGTGTTGACAACATTGTGGTGCAGTGGTTGTTGTTTGCTTCTTACTGGTATAACACAAGTTGCTGAAGCAGACACGATGAACTTCAAGTGATATTTGCTCCTCGACTTATCTTCATATTTGGTTGGATGGATTATTGTGTCACCTTGCCTCTGTTCGGAAGTTTGCTTTCTTCGCTGAATGCTTTTTTGAATGATCTGCTGTTTGGTGCTTCAAAACTAAGAACGGTATGTCTCTCTGTTCAGAAATGCATGAATTATGAATCCATGTCCCCTACTAAAGTTGGCAAGTGTGCACCCTAATGCTTTCAAGTGTGTATTACTCCGGTATTAGTGTTTGCCCCCTGATTATGATGTAACTTTGTAGAGCTCGTGTGTTTTGACTACTGACATCTCCCCCTGATGATAGTGTAACTTTGTAGAGCTTGTGTGTTTCAATATTTGAAGTTTTCTTTCCCCCCTCCCTCCTATTTCATTTTTGGTCTATAGTCTCACATATGCAAGTTTTTGATTTGTCTATTTCCTTGGCATTCTGTTTTTTATTCCAAAGAACAGCTGCAGATGAATATGAATATTTTGTTTAGAGCAGATCTTCAATTGTAGGAAAATCTCATATTAGTATTATGATGAATGGGGTATATGTAGTATCGTGTAAGAACACCAATGAGCAGAAGTTTTATGACATACAAGGATGAAATTGGAACTTTAACCTAAAGGGTAGCTAGCTGTTTGAGCCAAAAATTGCCAAAACTGGTGCATCCATAGTGTTGTGGCAGAATTTTGGTCCATCTGTTGTGGGCTCTTTTTCCTTGTTGCATATTCCTCAGTCTGCAATGGCAATCGAGTAGTGTCAAAGGTATGATCATGTTACAATGCATAGTACTCTTAACCTGTTGTACAATGTTGAAATTGGAAATCTCTTTGTAATGTTAACTTGTTTCGGGTAAATTCTGGAACTTCTGTAATTGGAAATCTTATTGAAAGCTTGAACTGTTGAAACTTAGAAAGGCTTACTTGCCACTTTCCTTAAATTATTCGTACCTCAGAAAAATGAGTTGATGTTGCAGGTCCTCAAGACTGTCCAGTGAAGGCAGAGGAAGTTTTCGGTCCAACTTTTGAGACCAGCTTCTTTCACTTTTTACGGCAATGCTTAACTTCTCAGGAGTGATGTTGCTCTTGGAGGTTAACGGTGAAAGGATTCTATTGAAGCTTGGAGATGCCAGCACGCATATGAACATTGGTACTTGTTGGATAACCCTGGTGCCAGAATGAAGGAAAATAACATAAACCAGACATTTTTGCGATTGATACCAGTAAGTTACCATCTCAGACTCCCGTGATGATATTATTTCTACTGAAAGTCAGAATTGAATTCTTGGAACTGTGCCAATCCGAATCTGAATCAACCTAATTCGCACGTCAGATTTTAAATCTGACCCTTTAAAAAAAATACGTGCACCCATTTTTGTGTGCTAAACGTCCTCTTTTTGGTTCATCATAGTTAGATTAATCATGAATTTTGTTACACATGATATTAATTTTTTGGATCGGATATATAATCGTATCTTTTTGTACTCATGTTTTCAAATTACGATTTTATGAAACCACTTGGGTTCGGAAATACATTTAAAATTGTTTGAATTTGAATATTTTGTTTCTAAACAACCTTTATTAGATTTTTTTTTTTTTTAAACATCCTTCAAAAATGGACAAAAGCAAGTACAAATATTTGTCAAACAAAAACATTAGAAATTGCAAAAATTAGTGGCGTCACCGTGTAAGATTTGAGACCAAGTGTATAATAAGACAACGCTTGCGCCCCAAGATTAGTGGGGTCACTGTATGAGGCCATATTTCAATGTAACATTTCAATTCTTTTGAGATAAGGTTTTGTGTTCTATTCTTTAAAATTCTTGTGTTTCTAGTTTAACTGTTCTTTCAATATATTATTACCAACTTGAATCTCATTAACAGCTGAAGGGTTCAAACTATTGCCACTTTTCAATAGCTATCAGCAGTTTCCACCAATTTTTGTTGTGATTTTGCTGTGATCTAAATGATTTGCCAAAAAGAGATGCAGAGGTAGTTGCCGTAAAATTACATATACATTGTACTAGGGTTAATTGTTGCTAAATTGGTAGACCCGGTCCGGGTTGAAGCAAACCGGACCGGTTTGTTATATTTTGTCCAATATTGAAAAAGTTGATGCTAAATGAAGGGACTATAACTTAACACCTCAAGCTCTTCTAAAGAAAATGAATTTTCACTCTGCCACTTTGGTTTCTTATTAATATGTAGGAAATATGTAATAGTAATTGTATTCAAATTAATTTCTCTCAAACACATGTATAATTAATATTTTTACAAATAATATTAATATAAAAATATTTTTAATGAATGTATTTTATTTATTTTTAAATTATAAAAATATTTATAAAATAATTATGACATCACGGTTTGATTTCGGATTGAATTAGTGAACTGTTCATCTAATTTCTTTTTCGGTTCATTCACCAATCTGATTTTTAAAACATTGATTTCAACTTAAAAGCAAAAAGGAAAGATTACGTGCCTGGATGGTTCTCTAAGGAATCCAACTTCAAGGTCCCCCTTTCATGTCTTTCACGAAAATGCAGTTGGAAAGACTTATCCATCTTCTTTATTTTTCTACCACCCCTTAACCCCACTCCAACTCTATTTTTTAAACTTCCAATTAAAAAAAAAAAAAAAAAAAACTGATTCAAACTAGGCTTCGAGTGATCTGTACACAAACGAATATACCATTGACAGGTCAAAATCACATAGTGATTGGAATTGTAGAACATTCTTTCTTTTGATAACTTCCACCACTATTCAATTTCAATCACGGGAAAGTGACCCTTACCAAGAATTAAAATAGCCTTTCGGTTTGCCTTTGAAATTGTGATTTTAATTAAAAAAATTTCAAAGCTCATAACTACATATACAATTCAAAATTAAATATAAAAATTATTTTCAAAACTCATAATCATCAAACTAATTTCCCTCAAACACATGTATAATTAATATTTTTATAAATAATATTAATATAAAAATATATATAAACATATATGTTTGATGAATATATATATATATATTAAATTATAAAAATATTTTACATGAATGTATTTTATTTATTTTTAAATTATAAAAATATTTATAAAATAATTATGACATCACGGTTTGATTTCGGTTCAACTCGACGGTTAAATTAGTGAACCGTTCACCTGATTTCCTTTTCGGTTCATTCACCAATTTGTTTTTTAAAACATTGATTTCAACTTAAAAGTAGAAAGGAAAGATTACGTGCCTGGATGGTTCTCTAAGGAATCCAACTTCAAGGTCCCCCATTCATGTCTTTCACGAAAATGCAGTTGGAAAGACTTATCCATCTTCTTTATTTTTCTACCACCCCTTAACCCCACTCCTAGTTTGCCACTCTGTATTAAAATTACAGAGATTGAAGTAAAACTTCGGTGATATTAGAGGGACCAACATTGTAATTTATCTTTCTATTTTTCAAACTTCCAATTTAAATGCAAAATTCCAATTAAAAAAAAAAAAAAAAAAAAAAACTGATTCAGACTAGGCTTCGAGTGATCTGTACACAAACGAATATACCATTGCCAGGTCAAAATCACATAGTGATTGGAATTGTAGAACATTCTTTCTTTTGGTAACTTCCACCACTATTCAATTTCAATCACGGGAAAGTGACCCCTACCAAGAATTAAACTAGCCTTTCGGTTTGCCTTTGAAATTGTGATTTTAATTAAAAAAAATTTAAAGCTCATAACTACATATACAATTCAAAACTAAATATAAAAATTATTTTTAAAACTCATAATCAAATACACAACTCAAAATTTAATTCAAAATTCTTTTCAAAACTCATAATCAAATTTTTTTCAAAACTCTATTTAAAAAAAAAAATTAAAATTTTATTTTATTTTGTTTTTTCAAATTATTTTTAGAATCATAATTTGAGAGTGAAATTTTATTTTGAATTATAAGTTTCATGTTGAGTTTTGAAAAAAGAAAATTTATTTGGTTAAGAATTTTGAAAGAGTTTTTGAGTAGTATTTTTTTTTGAAAAAAGAAAATTTATTTGGTTAAGAATTTTGAAAGAGTTTTTGAGTAGTATTTTTTTAATGTACACTGTATTTCATACAATTGTTTTCTGATTTTTTTTTTAATATATGAGTTTAAATAAGTTTTGAGTTATGTGTTTGGTTATTATTTGAGTGTGGGTTGTGTTTTGAGTTTAAAATATTAAAAAATATATTTAAAAAATTAAATTAAATTAAAAAAATTAAAAAATATTTTTAATAAAAATTATATATCTAAAATAAATAAATAAAATTTTCTTAAACATTTTTAAATATTAAAAAAATCAAATTCAAAAAAATTCAAAATACAACTTAAAGTTCAAAAATTCAAAACTCAATTCTTTTCAAAATTCAAAAACTAAAAATTCTTTTCAAAATTTATAGCCAAACAATTTTTTTTCTTTTTAAAATTCAACTCACAACTCCACACTCAAAATCATAATTCTAAAACTAAATCAAATGGAACCTAAGTTGATTGAATTATGTTCCGATCATATTTATTTTTAATAATGAACGACAAATAAAATATAATTTTTAAAATAAACGGTATATTTTTAATGTAAGTATAATCTGATCATGTAACATTCTATCATTTTTCTTTTTTCTTTTTTTACGTAATTACTTATTTAACAAATCTTAAAAAATAAATAATTTAGA